GACAGACACTGGTGAAGAGCCATCAGGGCAAATCTCCTTGTCTAGATGCACTGGGGCATAAAATAAGCTGTGTTTTGTAGCAGTGCAGCTTACTGTGGGGTTTCAAGATGGGATGAACTACATCAGTGTCACTCCCACCTTCCTTAGTCTACAGCTGGGGTTCGCTCCAGTCCAGCTACATTGGATTTAGCTTCACTTTCTGTTCCCATGTAGATATGTTCTAAGTGATTTGCCCAAGGTCAGAGCTCGAGCTTGCACCCTGAACACTGCACTAGTTTACACACATGGACCTCTCTCCTGCTTACTTGCGTGTTTTTATAATGCCCCAGTGGGAATGGCAGCTTGGGGGATGTGTAAGGCCTTTTAGGAACTTCTCCCACGGCCATAGCTACCACTGCTTGTTGGAGGTGGTTTAATTCTGTTGATGGGAAAGCTCTCTCCCATCAACATAGAGTAGCTACACAAGAGATCTTACATCGGTGAAGCTGCATACGTACCGATGTGCCACAGCAAGGTCTCTAGTGTAGATGTAACCAAAGTAACAACTGCAGCTGCGGAGGTGTGAATGGCAACCCTCCCCACCCCTCTCATCAGCCAAGTGTTAAATGCAAAACCTACTTCAAAGCCTTTCTGAATGCTCACAACCATGCAAAGGGAGGGGAGAAACAGTCATCTGGAGTAAATCCCCTCTCCACAGCTTGCTCTCATTTCACCTCTTCATACCCCAGACCAGAAAGGCAATGTGCACCTGAGGAGTTTGATTTCTCACCATTGCTGTGGTGGAGTGCTAGTATAGACAGGACTGCATATTATCTGTGTAACTCAAGGACAAGTAGGTCTCCATGATGTGGTGTTCATATCTGTGGGCTTCATTATGTGGTATACCCATGGATGGCGGGTATAAAAGGTCAGGGAAGGCTTTGCCTTCCCTGGCACAGCTGCCCCCACCCCGGGACACCTGGGCTGCGGTGACCCTGCCTCTTCCCAGAAGGCCCCCCCCCACCTGCTGCTGCCTACCTGCACTCCACTTCCCACCCCCCAAGTCCCTGCTGCTCCTCGAGGGCAGGGGAGTGAGGAGGGACACTGAGAGCAAGCAGCGGGTGCAGGGGGCTGGCGGGGGAGTGAGGTGGCTTGGCCAGGCACTGGGGCCACCAGCTTGGATGGGGGGTGGGGCGACGGCTCTGCCCGGCACAGGGGTGGGGGGCAGCTCAGCCCGGTGCTCAGGCAGGAGGCAGTGGCTCGGCCTGGCGTTCTGGGGCACGACTTGACTCAACCTGGTGTTGGGGCTGGCCTGGCACTTGGTGGGGGGCGGGAGCAGCTCGGCCTAGCTCTGGGATCAAGGGACAGGTTTTGGGGCTCTGGCATGCAAGGGTCGGGGCCTTGGGTGGAAGGGGCAGGGCCAGCAGGTTAGCCTCCCCAAAATGGGGGTTCACCCGCTGCCCATGGGTATATCCCACTGCCCAGTGACTGTTACAGATCAGGGAGTAACATACGAGCATCAGAGCAGCCACACTGGGTCAGGCCAATGGTCCGTCCAGTTCAGTGTCCTGTCTTTGGACAGTGGCTAATGTCAGGGGCTTCAGAAGGAATGAACAGATGTGGCAATCACTGAGTGATCTCCCCCTCACACCTCCATTGCCATCATCCACTCCCAGTTTCTGGCAGTCAGAGGCTAGGGACACCTAGACAATGGAGTTGCATTCCTGACCATCTTGACTAATACCCATTGATGGACCTATCCTCCAGGAACGTATCACATTCTTTTCTGAACCCAGTTGTAGTTTTGACCTTCACAACATCCCCTGGTTGACTGCGTGTTGTGTGAAGAAGTACTTCCTTTTGTTAGTTTTAAACCTGCTGCCTATTAATTATATTGGGTGATCCCTGGAAGTAAATAACACTTCCTTATTCACTTTCTCCACACCATTCATGATTTTATAGACCTCTGTCATATCCTCCTCTTAGTCATCTCTTTTCCAAACTCTTTTTAATCTCTCTTCATATGGAAGCTGTTCCATACCCTTAATCATTTTTGTTGCCCTTCTCTGTACCTTTTCCGATTCTAATTTTTCATTTTTGAGATGGGATGACCACAACTGCATACAGTATTCAAGGTGTGGGCATACCATGGATTTATAGAGTGGCATTATGATATTTTCTGTCTTATTGTCTATCCCTTTCTAATGGTTCCTAACATTACCTGTTTCACTGCTGCTGCACATTGACAGGTTTCAGAGTAGCAGCCGTGTTAGTCTGTATCCGCAAAAAGAAAAGGAGGACTTGTGGCAGCTTAGAGACTAATAAATTTGTTAGTCTCTAAGGTGCCACAAGTATTCCTTTTCTTTTTGCTGCACATTGAGCGGCTATTTTCAGAGAACTATCCACAGTGACTCCAAGATTTGTTTCTTGAGTGGTGAGAGCTTATTTAGATCCCATTATTTTGCATATATAGTTGGGTTATTTTCCAATGTGCATTACTTTGCATTTATCAACATTGAATTTCATCTGCCATTTTGTCACCCAGTCAAACAGATTTGCGAGATCCTTTGTAACTCTTCACAGACTGCTTTGGACTTAACTATCTTGAGTAATTTGTATCATCTTAAATTTTGCTACCTCTGTTTACCCCTTTTTCCAGATCATTTATGAATATGTTTGAACAGCACTGGTCCCAGTACAGAGCCCTGGTGGACACCACTAGTTACCTCTTTCCATTCTAAAAACTGGCCATTTATTTTTACCCTCTGATTCCTGTCTTTCAACCAGTTATTGATCCATGAGAGGACCTTCCCTCTTATCCCATGTCTGCTTACTTAGCTTAAGAATCATTCATGAGGGACCTTGTGAAAGGCTTTCTGAAAATCCAAGTACAGTCCACTGGATCACCCTTGTCCACGTTTGTTGACCCCCTCCAAGAATTCTAATAGATTGGTGAGGCATGATTTCTCTTTACAGAAGCCGTGTTGACTCTTCCCCAGCAAATCATGCTCATCTATGTGTCTGATAATTCTGTCCTTTACTATAGTTTCAACCAATTTGCCCGGTACTGAAGTTGGGCTTACCGGCCTGTAATTGCCACGATCGCCTCTGGAGCCTTTTAAAAAAAGTAGTGTCGTATTAGCTCTCCTCCAGTCATTTGGTACAGAAGTGGATTTAAGTGATAGCTTGCATATCACACTTAGTATCTGGGACAGTACAGTACACACCAGTAGCGATGCACCATTACTTAGATTGTCAGCTCTTTGGGGCAGTGATCACCTTTTTGTCCTGTGCACAGCACAGCACCTATCACAACAGGGTCCTGGTCTGTGACTGGGGCTGCTAGTTGCTACTGCAAGTAGAGGTAATTAATAATAATGATGGTTACAATGGTGGAAATTGTTAAGGGAAATGTTCCAGTGTAGACAAGAGCAGGCAGCATTAGGTTTGCACAGTAATCCTTCCCATGAAATCACAGAAACTGGAAAAGATGTATTTGGTCTGATCTAGCCACGTAAGAGTCATGGTATTCCATACACCACATTTTCTAGTGTTTTGTCCAGTGTAGCTATAACTCTCAAGCAATGACATTTCCAGCACCTCGCTTGGGATGCTATTCCACCACCTGTTAAATCTAGCTCAATTTCACCACATGTCTCGTAATTATACCTCTAAACCAGTGGTTCTCAAAAAATTTTGTACTGGTAACCCCTTTCACATATCAAGCCTCTGAGTGCGACCCCCCCATAAATTTAAAAAAACTTGTTTTGTGTATTTAACACCATTATACATGCTGGAGGCAAAGTGGGGTTTGGGGTGGAGGCTGGCAGCTCGTGACCCCCCCATGTAATAACCTTATGACCCCCTGAGGGGTCCCAACTCCCAGTTTGAGACCCCTACTCTAAACAATTCATTCCCCCTACTTGGTGTAGTCCACCTTGGCAATACTGGGGCACTTAGGGCAGTGGTTCTCAACTTTTTTGGGCTCACGACCCATTGGTAGACCTTGATGGCCTATTGTGACCTAGTAAATTGCTTTTGTGCAAAAAACATCTGGCTTACTGAATATTTCTTACCCACGATATATAATATACAATATTAACATCATAAGTATATAGCTGTGCTGCTGTAGCAGCTCCAATGTAGACATATCCTCAGTGTGTTATCCCTGGTGTCTTCATTGTATTCCTAATCTGACACTTATACCCTGCACAGTTCCTTCATTTTCCATTGGCTACAATGCTTTCCTTCACTCCCTGTCCTGACATTGGGTACGATGTTGCTGTGCGCTGCTAAGCGGCTGGCAGGATTCATCCCAGAGAAGGCTGCACTTCCCTGAGGATGGTTTGAAGCGAGGCCTGTAAGTAAGCCTTTTACGTAGCACCCTGTAAAGTGGGCTTGTTTGGGACCAACCTTGCAATGACGCTAACAAGAACGCAGGCATCGCCTACCCGTTTAGTGCTCTTTTTTGGTTCTAAATCCTGGTGGTTTTTTTTTTCCCCCTCCCACCCCCCACGAAGGGAACATTTTATGATCTGGGGTCCCCCCCACCCTTTTTTTTTTTTAAAAAAAGTTTAAGGATTGATAGATCTGCGGTGAGAACAATTGGAAAGTCCAGAATTGCCCTTTTCTCTCTCTCTCTCTTTTCTTTAAAAGAGAACCAAAATATGTCCCCTCTCCGGGAACAGCGTGGGGAAACCCACAGGCATTCAGAGAGTCGCTTCCCCCCCTCCCACCCGCAGGAGGCGCAAAGCCAGCGAGGCTGGATTTTTCCATCGCTGCCTGGATCCCTCCCCCCCTTCTCCCCTCCCCCTCCCCAAACCAGACTCTCCTGCCTCCTCCCCCCCTTTCCTGCCTCCGTGCTCCCCTCCACGCCGCCCCCCCCCCCACTCATTCATCACAGCCAGCCCCCCCACCCCCCGCCAGCGCTTCCTCAGGCCCCGCCTTCGATGAGCCAGTCCATTCATCACTTCCCCTTCTGGCCCGTGGGGCCCGCCCTCTCCTATATATACGGCGCTGCCCCCGCCCGCCTTCACTGATTGTCCGACCTGGGTGCAGACGGCGCCATGTTGGCGTTAAAGCGGAACGCGGTGATCGGCCTCAACCTGTACTGCGGGAGCGGCCCGGCGCTGGCCCCCTCCCCGCCGGACTCCCCGAGCGGCGCGGGGGGCCCTCCCGCCCCAGGCGCGCGGGACCCCGGCCCTCCGGCGGAGGCCGGCCGGCCGGCGCCGCTGATTGGCGGAGCCGCTTGGGGTCCCAACGGCCGCTCTGAGGGGGCCCGCGCGCTGATTGGCGAGGGGCCCCGCGCGCGGAGCGGCTCCCCCACCCCCCCCCCGCCGGCTCTGGTGGCCGTGGGGCCCCGGCCGGCCTCGCTGTGGCGGCCGGAAGAGGAACTGGACGGCTGCGACCCCGACGCCGAGAGGATGGGCCCGCCGCCGTCGCCGTCCGCCGCCGGCTCCTTGCCCGGCACCCCGCCCGCGGAGGACGACGACGACCTGGACGGGCTGTACCGGGACTCGCTGGAGCTCATCAGCCGCTACCTGCGGGAGGCCGCGGAGCTCGGCGGGCCCGGCGGCAAGAAGCTCCACAAGCGGCTGCCGAGCGGGCCGCGGGGCGCGGGCCCCGCCGCCATGGAAAAGGCGCTGGGGACGCTGCGGAGGGTCGGCGACGGCGTCATGGAGAAGCACCAGATCGCCTTCCAAGGTGAGGGGCGGGGCCGGGCCGCCCGGGGGGGAAGAGGGGCGGGGCGAGGGGGCGGCGGCCTCCAAGATGGCGGCGGGGGCGGACCCGGGTTGCTCCTAGTTGGCCCCGGCACTGGAGAGGCGGGGGCCTGGGGGAGCCGGGTTCAGGCTGGGGCCTGCCGCCGTTGGCTGGATCCCAGTTGAGGGGAGCTGCCGGGGGGGGGGCGGGGCGTTCCCGCGCTGTGGGCCCCCCTCTGCCGAGCGGAGGTGGGGACCTTGCTGGTGGCCTGTATCAGGCAGCGGTTGTTGAGTCACCTCGGGGGCGGGGGGGTGTTTTGGGGCGATCGCGGGCGGTGGTTTTTCAGCCTGTGCTCCGTGGACCCCTGTGGCTAAAGGGTCCGCGCCAGGCTGGCCTTGCCATAGGCTAGTGGTTTTCAACCTCTGCTCCGCAGCTGGGCGCCCTGCAAGATATCCGGGGGGGGGGGGGTCCGCAAATGAAAAAAAGTTGCCAACTACTGATCTAGGGACTGGAGACTCCGCCCCGGGAAGCAGGGCTGGGAGAGGGGTCAGCTGCATGCAGCAGGCTGGGCTGCGGGGCTCTTGGCACCAGTTACGGGGCATTCTTTCAGAAGCCGTTGGGAAAGAATAACCTTCGTTTCTTCAAAAACGAAACTAAACCTTGTTTATCTAGAGGGTGGGGAAAACCCTTTAACTTCTGCAAAACTAGATTGTCACATATTAACCATAGTAGGGTGCAGAAAGTGGGCAAACATGCAAATATATTGTAAATCTTGTCCAAAGGTTAGCCAGTTATGGATTAGTCGCCTTTGTTTTCTAGGCTGCAGTAGAACAGAAGTGCTAGCAAGTATTTATTCTGACTTCTCTCTCTCATTACACTATTCTAGCATTTTACACCAGCTTCACCCTGAGTGTGTAATGCTGCACAGTAGTCTTAAAATAGCTACAGAAATTTGAACGCTAAAGTCCATGTCCATGGCTGGGTGTCCTGTATCTTCTTGATTAGTAATACTCCAGTCTGAAATTTCTGGGAACTTCTGAAGGTCACATTTTTCTTCAATTCTATTCTAGTGTCTGAGTAATAGCAAAACAGAATTTCAGTTTTACCTTAAGCTCTGAGTTCGTCAGGTTCTATTGAAATGCCAGACTTTGAAAACTTTTTTCATGAAATTTGTGTAAGTCACATGTTACAGTACTTACCATAATATGAAGTCCCAAAACTCCTACTTTTGAGCAATATTATAACTTTTTTTTTCTTTTTTGAAGAGAGAGCTCAAATAACTCATTAAATTTTAGAAGAGTCTAAAGTATTTGAGATACTGTAGACTTTCCACAGGGTTATATTTTTACTAAGATCAAAGAAGATAAGGACTTTAAATGGGTTTAGTTCCCTGGGAATAGAATTCATTAGCCTTTACAGTTGGCATTAAGCCACCTGAATAAATTATGGTACCTCTTTCATGAGTTTGAGTAATGCTGGGATAAACCAGTATTTTTGGATAACTAATCTTTTAACTCCTGGTGCTGAATAGGGAACTAATATTGGAGAAGAATCCTGTAAATCTTAACTATAACAAGAAAGTAGCTTCAAATGTCTAATTTATGCTAATTCATCAAGGGAGCCCTGGGGTCAGAATGGTTGGACTTCCTTTTAATAAACATAATAAAGGAGTGACAGTTTCATAATTGTTCTAACTCACCTAGCCTGTTCAAGGAGAGGCCAAAAGACAGGCTGAAAAGAAACTGGTTTTGTTTGATCTGTCATTCTAAATCCAGTGAGGAGGAGGGTACTGTGATTTGGCTAATACAGAGGTTTTTCCCAAAGCTTAAGTGTGCAGTGTCACAGCGCTTTCATTTTAGGTCCCTGTCTCAAAAAGAATTTAACTAACTAAAATAGCTCATGCTAATATAATTGTGTACTAAAGCTTCCAGACTTAATGCCTGCATGCATGGAGATAATGGTTTCCCCATCTTCCTCTCTTCCTCTTGGGAGGAAGGATATACAATAGTTGTCTAGCCTTTAAGGCAGATATTTTTGCTGGTGTTTATGCTACCTATTGTATAGTATTTGCAGTTGCTTACACTGAGACTACAAAAGTAACTCACTATGTTCTTCTGCTAATCTCTTACTTCAGGAATGCTTCGGAAGCTAGACATCAAGAACGAGGAGGATCTGAAGTCGGTGACTGCCGTTGCAACCCATGTTTTCAATGATGGAGTAACAAACTGGGGTAGAATTGTGACACTCATCTCTTTTGGTGCCTTTGTTGCAAAACACCTGAAGAGCATAAACCAGGAGAATTGCATCAACACACTAGCAGGGATCATCACAGATGTGCTTGTCACAGGCAAACGAGATTGGCTAGTTAACCAAAGAGGCTGGGTAAGTGAGAGATTGCAGGGACTGAATGTGGTTAATGAAGTTGTCCATAAGTCTAGTAGTAATTGCCTATCTCTGGCTGACACTTGGTGACACCTGTGCTTGTACATTCCTAAGGTATACAGGATGATTTACCAATCCACTTAAAACTACTGGCTGGAGCAGTGCAAGCGGATTATGAATCACTTAATTGGTGTAATAAAGATACATGGTGTTTTATGATGTTACTCTGCACTTGGAGCACTTTCATCCATATATCTGAAAGCCCTGTGGACATTATCCCCAAATTAAAGATAGGAATCAGAAGGTGCAAAGGTGAATTGAGTTCTGTCATGCCATGAGTATTCTGCAATTAGAGCCAAATTCCACACTCAAGCCACTAGACAGGTTCCCCTAATCAGGTAGAATGTACTGAGTTGCTTCTGTATTTGGTACAAGTTTGTCATGATTAGTCCCCAGTTGGTGGTGTACAGGGGTGCTACTGTTATGAGAACTTCATAAAGACAAATTGCATTGTGAGCACCTCTTTTTCCCCTTCCCCTCCCCCCCTCACCCCACCCCAGGTAAATGGCTAATGTTAGACATTAATAATTCACTTCTTTCTTCCAGGAGGGATTTGTTGAATTCTTCCGTGTAGAGGATCTAGAAGGTAGCATCAGGAATGTTCTGGTGGCTTTTGCAGGCTTTGCTGGACTGGGAGCAAGCTTGGCCTACATGATGCGATGAGCCATGGAATGATATAAATGACCTAAATGCGAGGTGGACTAGCTCTCCTTTGCATCTGGAGTTAGTGAACTGCACACTTCCTGCTGTGAAAGAATACCTATGACACTGTACTTCAAGGGAACATAGAGAATAACATCTGGGAATCTCACTGAGTGACTTCCCCCTCCCTCCCCTTCCCCCCGAAAGGGTAGTGTGGTGCAGTCTGACTGAGAGTACCAACAAGAGGATTTTTTTGCTAAAGAGAACAGAAAATGAAGCAAGTAATACTGCTTCCTTGAAGAGCCTTGTGAAAGGATGCTAAGAGTACTGTTTTTAAGTGCAGTCTTGTCACTAAGGGAAACAGCTCCTGTTCAAGTCAACAAAAGCACCAGCGGCTCTTACTCCGGACTGTCTAGAGGCTTTTATTAGTTTTGGTATGATGGCTGTATACGGAATGAGTTTCATTTCCTTCGCTCTGAGTTGTGATCATAGCTCACTGGAAATGTGGACTAGGGTCCTGTGGACCCATTGAGTCTCTAAGTTTGTGGCTTGTGTCTTGAGTTAGAAGTGCAAAAAGGTATATTCTGGGTATAACCAGATATACCAGCTGTGAGTGGAACTTTTGCTGAAATATGCCTACATTCCATCAGCAGTGAAAAGGGGTACAGTCATCTTGAAAGCTGAGAAGCCCTGACCTTGCTGTAGCTAGCCAACTTTAACAGGCTGCCAGTAGAGCTCCTTAGGCCATTATTTGCCACCTCTGTTATGACTCTCAAAGAACACCTGCAGTCATAAAGAGAGGGAGTGCAGTTGTAAGTATGTAAAAAAACAAAAAAAACAACTTCGCAGGGGGTGGGGAGGCTTGTACAGAGAACTTTGTAAATGTCTATAAAACTGTAAAATATGTACATTTTTACAGAGATGATCTCTTGAGAGAGATGGCTAGAGTGAGTCCAGATCCCTTTATTGAAATGCTGTACACAGCATTTCCTTTTTTGCTTCTCTTACCCTGACTTCCACAAAGTGTCTCTTCCTCATGTACTCTAGTAAAACTGCTAGGCTTCTCTGGCGAAGTTTGGCTATGTGACTGATGCCTGTGTTCCCTATGACTTGCTGGCCGCAGCACGAGTTTTTGGTTTTTTTATTAGATTGTTTTAATCTTTGGATTATTCCTGACTCTTTAATGGCTGGGTGAGTGTTCTGGAAGCCACTGTTGGCTATTTCCTAGTCATGTTTTATTTTGACCTATTTTTTTAGTCTTGATTCAAAACTAAGCTAATTTGAATGTAAGCATTTTCTCAAACTAAATAAAACAACTAAATTGGATTGAATCTGCAGTTAGCACCATGAATCCATTAATTTGACATACTCAATTCAATCCTTCAGTAGCTATTTCTCACATTCACTCTGGACAGGCTTGCAGGGAGTAATCTGGTATTAATTTTTTTTTTTAACTGAGCCAGTTGATTCCCTCTCTGTATGCACAATAGTTTCATATTAAATTTTGGGTTTTCAGCAAAATGAGGTATGTTAGTCTTCACTGTATTTAAAATCTTGTTCAGACTGAATTAGGGTTGAAGTGGAAGCTAATGTAAAACAAAGCCTAGACTTCAAACATGGTGCTAGCATCAGGCTTGCTTGTTTACATAATAAATGAGCGTCCTACTCTTGTCAATAAAGTGGTTTTTGTTCACTTCTGCACAGTTAAATCTTGCTGCTGTTCCTCTGCCTGGAAGTTAAGGCAGTAGCACCCCATAACAGTATTTTGTGGCCAAGTGTATGCTGTGACTGTAGTGAACTTCTCTCTCTAATGTGCATGTAATTTCCAGCCTACAGTGGTAGCAGAAGTCTTCAGTTATAGTATGAATGAATATACTGTACAGGGGCCTGGGGTAGCTCTCACAGGGCTTAGCACTACCTATTACCGCAGTCCCACTTCTGCTTGCATCCAGCTGTTGCATCAAGTTACACAGATGACAAAGCATTGTAGCTTTTCTAGTACTCCATGTACAGCTGCTCTAGCTGTCTTAGCAGTAGTGTCCAGCTGTGAATGAGGAGGTGTCAAGACAAATCCCCAACATCCTGTCGATAGTGCAAAAGTTGTGAGAACCCTTACTCCATGATTATGTTCAGTTGACCCAAAATTGTGTGTTAGTAAGGAAACACATTCATCTCTAACACTTTAAATCTTAACGTGTTCAGCAGATCACAGCTCTCTTTAAAAGGAGAAGGGGGAGGGGTATCTTTCTTCACTAAGCAGCTCAATTTACCTCTTCAACAGTCGCATGCAAGCGTTCAGCTAAACATCACACAGGGCTACATAAAAAGTGCTAACAGCTGCACTCAAAGGCTCAACCACAAAGGGAGAGGCTAATTCAACAGTTGCAGTAACATTTCACAAATAGCCTTTAATCTTTAGAGTTTTTGTTTAAGCTTGGATAGGGTTAGTCTCTTCAGCACTTCCCTGACATTCAGGCAGGGTCCAGACAATGTGTACAACTGAAATACTTGTTCCTCTTCTTCCTCCTCTTCTCAGCCCCCAGAAATGCAACAGCCTTCACCAAACAGGCATAGCTTTTCACGGGTATATTAGATTCCAACTATTCTGCAATTGTGCCTGCCTGCTTTTCTGTAGCCTGTTCCCTGCTAAAATAAACTATGCAAATATAGTAAGTATGATATCTGTATTTAAACCACACACACTTTTTATAACCTGGCAAGGGTTTACTATTAATTACAGCCACTGGATAAGCTAACAGCATAGTTCTAGCTATACATTTAGCCTCCTTTCTTGTCCAGGGCAAGAAAACATCAATTGGTATTCAAGTATTATTCCTGCCTGAAGCAGATACCCAGGATTAACTCAAATAAATTGGTTAGTCTCTAAGGTGCCACAAGTCCTCCTTTTCTTTTTGCGAATACAGACTATCACGGCTGTTACTCTGAAACCTGTCCCATACAAGCTTCTTTAGAAACAAGTACCTCACTGCTCCAGCTTCTCTCCTCCATGAGGGGATTGCACTATGAGGGCAACTGGCCTGCTGCATCTTGCTGCAGAAGCAATATGTTCGATCATACTGACATGTTGTCTTACCAAAGGTTCCTCTCAACAATGGGATATGTGCTACAGCTGCCATCTTTTTGACTTACGCAGATGCCCTCCCTCACTACAAGCTGAGGGTGGTAGGTAGGATTGCTTTTAAAGGTATAGCAACTGGGGGGCGGGGAGTTCCTGCGGTATGAGTGCTGGCATTGAAGGAGCAACCAGCTGTATGAGATTACAGGAGAGTGGGGTGTGAGGTATGGGTAATGAGTTAAGAGTGTGCTGTGTACCCAAGAATCATGCTTGCTCACCCTCTCAAAAGCTTTAGGCTGGCTCTGTGTTTACTGGTGCTAATGACAAATTGCTTATAGGTGGGGAATGTGGGAGGCAGGGTACTTGGCACGCTGGCAAACAGCTGTTTCTGAAAAGGCAAATGCTGTATTTTGTGGTATAGCGGGGGATGGTCGTGTTCCTAACTCATGGGGTCTTCTCCCTGCTGCTTCTTTGCATTCATCTCTTGCTTGGGAGGCAAAGAGTGGCAGAATTCTTGACAGCATTGTTAAAAATGAAACCTTGTCACGATTCAACTAGAAAATGCTCAGTGCAATTCTCCCCACCCCCACTTCGAATGAACAGTCTGTCCGCTTTCATTGAACAATGCGGCAGATGGCCACCTTCAGCAGCAGCTGGTCACTCTGGCCCAATCCTCAAAGGTATTTGGGCTCCTAACTTCCATTGGAATCAATGGAAGTTAAGGGCCCCAACACCTTTGAGAATCTGGGCCTCTGCCACTGGAAGAAAGTTGGCAGTTTTTGTATATGGTGACAAGGCATCTGGCAGTGTTTGGCTGTGTCTTCCTTTTAAGCTACTTTTAGGAATGCTCTCTATGCAAGCCCTTCCCAAAGTCCAGTGGCTTCATGCAAAGGTGGGGATTTGCTATGGAAACATGCAAATATGGAATTTGTAGACTGGTTTCCCCTTCACCACTTGGCTGCTCTGTTTCTAGGTAGTGGGTGTAAAGTGCGTCAAAGCTGCCTTGCTTCCTGGTAACCATGTATATACTGTGAAGGCTATCTATTCAATACAGGCTATCTCGGCTTTGGTAAAAGGGTGGAAACTTCCTTTCCCTTTCAAATAAGGGCTTTCAGAGAGCAGAAAATGTGCCAGTAATCACAATCCATTTTTCCTTCTCTGAAGCAGTTGTTTAGAACATGAACCTTTATTAACTAAGAGTTTCCTCCAATTTTTGAACAAGGTCACTGCATTCATTCATTTATCCTTTCTGAGAGTGATCCAGCAGTGCCTGGAAGTAGGAACATGTTATCAATGCCTGCTCTATCATCTTGAACATATCTATCATCCCCCATCCGCAGCCCTTTCTCTCTTTTTAATAAAGATTCCCTGGACTACTTGAATTCCTTACTCCCCTACCACTGATGGTGTTTGTGGCCCATTAGCCAATCTCTGCTCGCTTTCTTATATTAGAAACTGGGGCTGAGATTTTCAATGCTGGCTCTGGAATTTGGACCTCAGAGTGGGGTTTCCAACCCCTCCCCCACTTCAGGAAGCTTTGCAACTCAGTCAAAAACTGGACTATGGAATATATTCCCAGGATGCTAATAACGGAATTAAAAGTGACAGCAGTGTCCTCAAACTGCTGAAATGGCAGCCTGCCACTTTGGGGATAGTTCAAAACTCACCTTTTCTTCAAAACTTCACCACACTTCTTCTCTCCCCTTCTTTCCCCCCCCCCCCATCCCTATGGGGCAACCATTATTTTTATTCTGTACCCCCATTGACATGTCTCTGCATTTAACACCAGAGGCAGAGGGACTTACTGTGCACTATGAAGAGTTGGTACGTGGCTGGAATACCGAAAAGGTCTGCCCGCAATGTGTCTTTGGACCTTTTTAAAATCAATTCATTCTGTTTACTGTCTTGCATCCACCACATGCAGCCTGACGGCAGTTGTTGCTCAAGCATAAATGCTTCATACCCTTTGAAGGGCGAGGAGGGAGGGGATCGCTTTGTAACTTTACAAAGAATTCGTTTCTGTCAAAAGTGGTTGTTAGGCCACTGGGCCCAGCCCTCAAAGGTATTAAGGCTTGGAAGTTAGGAGTCTGAATACCTTTTGAGGAACTGGGCCTTGACTACAACTTTCAGGTCAGGATTGAAGTGGGGAAAGGAGCAAAATGGTAATCAGAAGTGATGTTTAAAGGTCCAGCTCTTGCCACCTGCTATGGCTAGAAACTTACTTTATGGTGCTGCAAACGTAGCAATCTCAGCACTAACAAAAGGTTAATTTGATGTTCTCATTGGGCCCTTGTCTAGCAGTGCTTTTGTACTACTGGTTTGGAGCGAAACATTGCAAGTTCTCAAGCTAACAAATGTACTGTTCGATCTCCCAATTATAATGCTCAGGGCATGATGTAATAGTTTCTATAGTGACAGACAGACGCCATAAACAGAGGACAGCAGTGGTCAACAGTCTTTGCCAGCTATTCACTGCTGCTCCCAACTAAAATCCCATAGCTTGGCTCCATCTACCAAAGTTACGCTGTTCCAAAGTATCACACACTAAACACTCAGCAATGTGTTTTTTTGCATTCTTGCTAAAGCGCTTACTTCATCCTGTGGCATGAGGCTAGGCCCGTTTCCTTTAATGGATGCAAGCTGAAGATGTTTTTCTGAAATACCATGCAAACAGCAATGTGCAAATCATGCCTGAAATTTTTTGGTGTTGCACTGCAACCGTTGTGCAAATCTCTCTTGGCATGCATGCTTCCGCAGGTAGCGGGACAGTACTGTGACAAAAAGACAGCCTAAGGCGTTCATAGAAATTGGAGAGGGAAGCAACCTGTTATGTGATCTAATACAGCAATTTCCAAAACCCCAACAGCACCATTTTCCTGGATTCTTTCCTAGAGTCTGTTCAGTTTTAAATGCCCCAAACAGCGAGCCTTCCATTATTTCTCTTGGGAGGCTACTCCAAGGCTTTGCAGATGGTTGTATTCACCTTCCCGTTAGACTCCATTAAATAGCTCCCATCCATCACCATAATATCTGAACGTCTCCTAACTCCCGATCAGGTATCGAAGTACTATTATCCCCATTTTCAAGACTGGAGAGCAAGGTGCATAGATGAAGTGACGTGATTGAGATCCCAAACTATGGGTTTGTCTACACAGCCGACGCTAAAGCGCTGCCGAATGTGGCTGCTCTGTAATAAAAGAGAGCAGCGCTGTACTAAAACCATCTCCGCGTGGGGAATAGCTCCCAGCGCTGGGATTAGCACGGTCTACACAGCCACTTTACAGCACTGAAACATGCATCGTTTTTTCACACCCCGAGAGAAGAAAGTTTCAGCGCTGCAAGTGGCAGTGTAGACAAAGCCGGAGTCTGTAGCAGAACCAGATCTCCTGAATCTCCACGCACGGCCTCAACTTCCTTCTCTAAAGTGCTCCACTTTGAGTCTTTCCTTAGACGAACTCACATCAGTTTTCTTCTCAGAAGTAGTCATCAAAGGAAAGGTACTTTATTGAAGTGCGACCCTAACCTTGCTGTCCATCCTTCTACTCTGGATATTTTAGGTACTTATCACATTACTGTAGTATCTGAACAATTTAAAATGTTCCAAGTATTTATTCTCA